GGGGGGGGGGGGGGGGGGGCTGACTCTAGTGTGAAGGCATGGTGGTAGGCATCCAGTTTGAGCCTGACTCATGACCATCACCCTTGTTCCCAGGTCCTTTCATTCACCAGCTCTGGGCCACAGAGACCTAATCAGTTTCCCACCTGTCTGTGGATTCTGGGTTTCTCCATCCAAAATGAAGTTCTGAAAACCAGACACTGAGGTAAGGGTGGGGATGAAACATGAATCTAGGACCCCTGACAGCCTCAAACCTGGCTTGAGCAGGAAGCAGAAGAGATATGACTAGTCTATGTTCCCATCGGGCAGAGAGGGTTGTGTGAGGATTCCCTTCTACGGGTCAGATGTGGTGGGTCGAATCTTTAGTGACTGCTTGTCCAGGTCTGAAGGAAGAGCACCCACCGATTCCTTCTTACACCCTGACCCTAGTCGCAGGTCTCGTCCCTCCCCCATGCTCCCAGGTCGACGAGGCAACAAAGGGGCTGTTTAGAGAGTCCAGCTGGTTTGACTGGTCTGCGCAGAGTTACCATAGACCAGCACCCCAGCTAGGCTACTAGCTCCAGCCTCCAAAACCCAAGCCTGCCACCCCCTCCTCCAGGAAGCCGCCCTCGCTCGCCGCCTAGTCCTCTTTAAAAGAGAAAAGCAGGCCACAGGTGTAACATAACGGTTCGGTCGGCATCGGTGGACCCAGCACGCCGCGGGGCTCGAGATGTCGGGGCTGGCTGGCACGGCCCGTGACCTTGAACGGGCCGCCTGGAGCCAATGCCGCGGCCTTCCAGCTGTGGCCAAACCGACGACTTGAGGCCCGCACCACTCACCGAGCGAGACCGCCGCCACCAGCCCTCTCCGGGCCCTGGCAACCCTCTCTCGATTCCGGTTCCGGCGTCAAGTCGGTTCCGGTTCCGGCGTGCCCCTCCCCTGTCCCGGCACCGCTACCGCTGCCTAAGCGGCTTGTTTTGTTTGACTTCTAGATACGGCCCGTGGGAGGCGGAGCGCTGAGTCAATGACGCACTTCCGGCAGGAACAGGGCTCTTGGTGACAGGCAGTTCTGGGGCGGCCCGGAATGAAAGAGGAGGGGTTCCGGTCCTTTGACTTTGCGAGATTCCTATTGGTGACAATGTCGAGATTCGTCACCCCTCCCATCAAAATCCACACAACATAATGGAGGTTCACACTGGTTTATTGGGAATCGTTGCAGACCAAGAGCTCTTTAATGTGTAGACAGACATGCGTGCGGAACAGTGCTTGGGGAACAGGATAGGCCCTGGGGAGTGTTCACTGGCAGGTGTTGTAGATCTGGACCTGCAGGTTGATGGCTTGAAGCACACTACGCATCCTCTCCTCCAGCCCATCCAGTTGGGCCGCCTTGCCATCCAGGGCACGTTCATTCTCTTCATAGGTGCCTTCCAGTTCTAGGAGAGGCAAGAAACAGCTTAGGGGTCATTTTCCCACAGATCCACCTCTCTAGCTCCTGCTCACCACACTCCTCACCCTGTAGCCGCTGCAGCTTGTCCTGGGCAGCTTGCAACAGGTCCCGAGCCTCATCCCGCAGTTGTTCTGCCCTGGCTTGTGCAGCCAGCACACCCTCAGCCTTGCGCTCAGCCAAGTCCCTCACAGTTTGGTACTGGTCACCTACTGTTCCCTGCAGCAGCTGCAGATGTAAAGAACAAGGTCACTATGCTAGGCCAGTGTAGGCCTAACCACACTATCCCTACCTCTTCCAGCTGGGTCAGCTTCAGCCACCTTCTCAGCCTCCCTGGCACGGCTCTGGGCACTGTCTGCTGTTTCTTCAGTTGTGGAAGCTGCCAGGCTATTTCCTGCTCGTTTCAGTTTCAGAGCCTCCAGGAGAACATCCAATTGCCGAGCCCGTTCACTTGCAGAGCTCAGTGACTGCTCTGCACCTGCCATCCTCTCTTGCACCTGACACAGGGAGGCCCAGGGTTAAACAGAACTATGGAACATATCCATAACTTTGCCCCACTGATGTCCTACAGAGACCATACCTGGTGCAGGGTCTGCTCTGTGTTCTGTGTGTCAACCACTGCTCTCCGGATGGCACCCTGGGCAGCACCTTGTGCCCGCTGGGCCTCCTCCAGTGCTGCCTGTACTGTCTCTGCCTTTTGTTTTTCACCCTCAGCCCGGCTCCTGGGGTAAAGAGGGAGATTAGGGTCTGCAGCTATCAGACCTAGTTATCAGGAATAGGGATCTAGGGTTGGGGTCAGACCGTGCCCGCTGTGCATCCTGCAGTAGCTGCTCAGTCCGACGCACATCCCCCATTGTACGAGCCAGAATTGTGTCCACATCTGCCAAGCTCCGGACACGTTCTGCAATCTCACTTGCTAGGTGCTGGATCTGGTCGGGTGAGGCTGGGATGGAGAGCTCTAGCACCCGTGTGGCTACCATCTCAATGCTATCAGGATCAGCTCCCTCCTCTACGGAGACACAGGGAAGGGCTTAAGAACAGATTCTCTACCATGAGTATGGGAACATAATCTTGGTAAGTGGATTCTCAGATTGCACATGGGATAGGAGTTTGCTAATAGGCATAAGGATGTAACTGAAAAAACGGGCTATACAAGGAGCACAGACTTAGGGACATTGACTGGACAAGGACTCGGGTCATAAGCACAGGTTATGGTTCATTACAGGCCCTGAGACCTAAGTACACACAGACACAAGAGAAACAACCACATGGCCTAGGCCACACAGGAGGCTCACGGCTGAGGAAGTCCTTCACACTCTGGATAAGTTCTCGAAGCTCCTGATTGGCCTGCTCCACTTGTCCCCTAGAAGCATTAGCCTTGTCCAGGGCTGCCTGCGCCCGCTGCTGTGCCTCATCTGCCTGTCGACGAGTCTCAGCTACTCGGCTGAGGATGCCGCCACCTTCTACCAGTGCCCGCTGCAGCTCTGCCTGTGTATGCCGAGCCCGGCCCAGTGCTAGGTCTGCTGTAGCTGCTGCCCCACTGCAACTGAGGCCACCACAACGGGGCTGCCCATCCTCATCCCGACAGCCGGCACCCCCACAAGGGCTGGTAGCACAGGGTGCATCCCCTGGGGCCCCACACACCTGCCAGGCACAAAACAAGTCAGAGTTCTGTGGGAAGAATATCCACACCCACCTGTCCCACTAAACACTTGCACCTCACCAGTTCATTTATGCCTGTCAGGCTCAGAGCACGGGTATATGCAGAGAGCTGGCCCAGTGCCTGCTGGTTGGCCAGGTGCCTGCGGTTGAAGTTTTCTTCTTGAGCACCCGTCAGCACTTCTGTCTGACGCCGGGTATCTGCTGAGTTGCTCACAGGGCTGGGTACTGCAAAGGTGGAGGAGTTGGCACGACGTTCTGCCTCTGCAGACTGGCTGTGGGCCTGGCGAATGCTGTCATAGGCACCTAAGTTGGACAGAAGGAGTCAATCAGCTGAAGATTGATTCTGACCCACCTGCCGAATTAACCAACAACTCACCTAAGAAATTTGAATGCTTGAGGAGATCCAGATGCTGGTCAAGCTGCCGCAGTGTGAGATTAAGTGCAAGTCCATCTCGCTCCAAACCACTGAGTGCATGGTTGGCATTGAAATTCTCATCTTGTACTTCTGTCAGCTCTGCCTCCAGCTGAGTCAGGCGCTCAGTGGTCTTCCCAATCTCGTGGCTGTATCAATAGGGGACATATTTAGAGAGGCTTCAGTCCTGTTCCACTGGGCTTCTGCTCAATCCCACCACTCTGCTTCTGGCCCATCCATACCGCAGCCCCTCTGTGGCTTCCACAAGCTTTGCAGTGGAGGCAGCTGAAGTGTTTTGGGCACCCACAATGGCCTGCACTATGCCCAGCTTCTCCTGCATCTTCAGAAAGTTGCTCTCAAAGGCACCCAGCACACCCATCTGCTGCAACTCCTGTGTCTGCTGCTCCAGGCGCCGTGTCCGGGAAGCCAAATCCTGTACCACACGATCCCAATCCCCAAAGCATGCATGGCAAGGGTAGCAGGCAGGAAAAACGCCAGAAAAACCACGTGCACACTGGTCACACCGCACGCCAGACACGCCTGGGCGGCAGCTACAATGTCCTGTAGAGCGGTGACACTGAGGTGTGTCTATTCCTCTAGGATCACAATCACAGGCTGCAGGAAATAATAGACCACAGTATTAGTGCTCCTGTGGAACAGATGGAGATGTCCTCTATTCCTCTATCTGCCCTGTTACTCCAGATTTCTCACCACGACACTGCAGCCCAGGGTCTCCCCAGTGAAGCTCCTGGCACTCAGAACAAGTCCGCCCACCAAAGCCAGCAGGGCAGTGGCACTGCCCTGTGAACTGGAATACAAACAGAGAAGGGTTTAGAGTCTCTCCTAAAGGCTGAGCCCTTGAGGCAGATAGCTGGCTCCATCTATCCAGGGATCTCCAAGGATCCATACCTCATTGCAGGTGGGGCCTTGGGCCCGGCTTGGGTGGCAGGCACAAGGCTGGCAGCCACGGCCACTGGTAAAGTTCCAGAAGTTGGGGGCACAACGGTCACAACTAAGGCCTTGGACATTGGGGAGGCATGGGCACTGCCCACTGCTTGGGTCACAGTGGCATTGATCAGTAGATGGGCATTGCTGGGGATTTGTGCCCAGAGGATTGCAGGAACAGCCTGGGTCAGTCAAGATAGACATAACAATCAAGGGAGCTCAAGCAGCAGAGCCCACTCAAGCCACCTTCTCCCATATCCATACTCACGGTGACAGCTCTGTTGGGTAGCCTGCCCATGGAAGCCAGGCTTGCAGTGACCACAGTGGGGTCCCTCTGTGTGGTGTAAACAGCGCAAGCATTGCCCCGTGTGGGGGTCACATGCTTCAGGGTCCGTGGGGTCAATGTTCCCATTGCACTCACACAGTTGGCACCTGCCACCTGGCTTTGATGGATCCCCAAAGTGCCCAGGGGCACAAGCTTCACACCGTGGCCCTGCCCACAGTCAAGGGGAAGCCATGAGTGTTTAGTTCAACCATCTCACACTAATCCCATACCTGTCCCCTACCCACTCACCTGTGTAGCCTGCTCGGCAGTGGCACACAATCTGCTGGGAGTAACTATCACGGTGGCAAGAAAGAGCAAAGTGCCGCTGGCCCCCAGGGCCTTCAGGGCAGGGACAAGGCCTGCACTGGCCCCCATGAGGCAGCCGTGGGTCCCCATGAAAACCAGCAATGCATCTGCATGGAAATGAAGATGTTTCATCCACAGGTTGCCAGCCTGCCCACCAACCCACTCATACCTACTTTAGGCTCACCTTTCACAATGCTCGCCCCCTGTGTGATCACGGCAGCCCAGGCAAGCTCCTGTGTGGGTATCACATTCATCTGCATGCCCATTGCAGACACACGGCTGGCAACTAGGGAATCCCCACTGGCCACGCTGGCAGTGGTCACAGCGAAGACCAAAGGCACCAGTTCGGCAGGGGCATTGCCCACTTGTCCCTTCACATAGGGAACTGAGTGCCCCATCAGGGCTACACTGGCAGGCTAGGGACAAGGCAGAAACTGAATTGGCAGGAGGCAGTCTGGGTGGGGTCAAGATAGGAAAGCTGGGGAATAACAGAATTGCAAGTGACCTAGGAGTATGGGATCCAAGGCAGAGCTAAGGAAGGAAGAAGTAGAACCAGAGGAAAGAAGGAGAATAGTTATGGAAAGAAAATAGAGGGGAATAAGGGGCAAGCAAATACCTTGACAGCCTGTAGGGCCAAAGCCATAGTAGCCAGTGGCACAGACATCACAGCGGCGTCCAACCACTCCTGGTTTACACATGCACTGGCCACCATGAGGGTTGCACTCAGAACTCAATGAGCCTTGAGGGTCACACTGACATGCTATGAGGAGAAAAGGAGTGCTAGATAAGGCCAGGTCTCCACCTCGCTCACCAATTCATATCAGGAGTACTTACGCAAGGCACCATTGTAGATCAGGGAGGACAGGCTGATGAGGAGAGGGGCACAGGCCTCAGACAGAGGGGTCTTGCTGGGCATCAGACCTTCCTCCTGGCAACGGTAGCGTTCAAAGGTAGCACGGCGCTCAAGGGCAGCAGCATCACCCCCACTAAACATCTCTAGCACCAGGACACGTGGCAGCAACACCAGCTGAAGGGATGAGAAAGTGTGTAGCTCACATAGGACCACATTGGTACTGCCAGAGTACTTGCATTAGGATTACCGTGGGCCTGCCTTTCCCATCACAGACGACTTCTCACAACTATTGCTACCACCATAATCTCCACCCCACAGGCCCTGCCATCTTGGTTGATGTCAGCAAACTGGGCTTGTTCACCGAGTCAATGAGTAGTCCAGATCCAGAGTAGGAGGTTTCAGGCTGGGCACTCCCCCCTGTTCGCATCAGTTTCAGATACAGCTTGTAGGAGTTGCCAGGCTCAAGGCAGACAGGTCTGGGAAACACCAAAAACCTGGAGGGATGGAAGGATAAGTATAGGATGCCACCCAGGGTCCCTGTACTCACCACCCTGGGCCTTTCACAACACACTCATAACAACCAAACCAATGGCCAAGGCAGAGACTGTAGCTGGGCCAGACCAAGTCAACAGGCTGCTGCTAAGGCCTGCCAGAGAATCTGTATGGAAGATTCCCATAAACATGGCTCTCTGGAATTATACACCCATTTAGACCCACAGCATTTCCCTAGCATTAGAACTTGTCAGGCTTTCTTGTTTGTATATTTTTAGATTTTTTTTTTTTTTTTGGTCTTTTTGAGACAGGGTCTCCCTGTAGCCCCAGCTGTCCTGGAACTATGTGGACCAGGCTGGCCTTGAACTCACAGAGATCCACCTGCCTCTGCCTGCCAAGTGCTGGGATTAAAGGCATGCTCCACCACGCCCAGCTTAGATTTTTATTTTTATGTGTGTGTGTGTGTGTGTATGTGTGTGTGTGTGCATATATGCACCATGGAGGCCAGAAGAAGGCATTGGATCCCCTAGAGGTGGAGTTACAAGCAGTTGTAAACCTCCCAACATGGGTGCTGGGAAGTGAACCTGGGTCCTCTGCAAGAGCAGTAAGCACTCTTAACACTGAGCCATCCCCCCAACCCTATGTGTTTTTTTGGTTTTGGATTTTTCTGGAGTTTTGTTGTTGTTTTTATTTAATTTTTTTAATTTTTAATTTTTATTTTTTAATTTTATGTGTATGTGTGTATTGCCTGCATGTAGGTAAGTGCACCCAATTTGTCCAATACCCTCGGAGCTCAGAAGAGGCTGTTGGATCCCCTGGGACTGGAGTTACGGGCAGTTGTTAACTGCCATGTGGTGCTGGGAGTCGAACCCGCGTCTTGTGCAAGAACAACCAGTTCTGAGCCTTCTCCCCAGCCCCTTATTTTTATTTTATTTTAGTTTTTTTTTGGTCTTTTTGAGACAGGGTCTTCCTGTAGCACCAGCTGGCCTGGAACTCACTATGTAGACCAGGCTGGCCTCGAACTCACAGAGATCTGCCTGCCTCAGCCTCCCAAGTGCTGGGATTAAAGGTGTGTGCCACCACACCGGACTTGTGTTTGTTTTTGTTTTTTTTGAGACAGGTTCTCACTATGCAGCACTGGCTGGCCTGGAACTCACTATGTAGACCAGCTGGCCTGAACTCACAGAGATCTGCCTGCCTGAGGCATGTAACACCACACCTGGCCCTGTTTCTTTTTTAAGGCAGGGTGCCCAACTCAAATATAAATGACTATGTATTTATTTATTTTGTGAATTATAACTCTATGTCTACTAGCTAAGCAATCACTGTACCACTGAGCTATATTGCCATCCATTTATTTGTTCCTTTTCACTAAGATGGTAATCCTCCCTTGCTTTCTGTCTCCTAGGTGATTATCATCATCCTGTAAACCCATATACATGGTTTGTTTCATTCCACCACAAATCCTCCTTCAATCCCCAAGTCTTCCCCTAGCGGCTGCCTCATCTTTGCTTTCCTACCCAATAAATCCATAGAGATCACTATAGGTACCACAAGCTAGCCTTCTGCTCCACTGGGACTTCTGGCCCACTTTGTGCCAAGGTCACCAATGACCTCCACTTTGTGCCAAGGTCACCAGTGACCTCCATGTAGCTAATAACAGTGGCCACTTTTTTTTTTTTAATCTTTTTGAGACAGAGTCTCCCTATAGCCCCACCTGACCTGGAACTTACTTGCTATATAGATATAGACCAGGCTGGCCTTGAACACACAGAGATCCACCTGCCTCTGCCTCCCAAGTGCTGGCATCAAAGGCATGAGCCACCATGCCTGGCTCACTTTCTATTCTTATCTCACTCCAGCATTCACTCAATGTCATGAGCTCACTGTACTTTCCCTTATCTCTTAGCTTCTTTGCACCTGTCCACATCCCTGGTTTTTCTCTTAGCCCATTAGTCCCACCCACCCCCCTTTTTTTTTGAGACAAGATCTCATGTGTCCCAGGCAGGCTTTGAATTTTGTTATGTAGCCAAGGAAGACTTTGAACTTCTGACTCTCCACCTCTACCTCCCAAGTGCTGGGATTACAGGCATGCACAACCACGCTTGTAATCCCAGCATGCTTTATGTAGTGCTAGGGATCCAACCCAAAGTATACTAGGCAAGCACTCTACCAGCTGAGCTACACCCTTCTACTTCCTCCTTTTTTCCCTTCTAATACCAGGGCACATCAAAGTTTCCATCTGGTTCTCCTCTCTTCCTCAATCATTCCATTGAGACCCAGCTCTTTAGTAACGTGTCCTTTTAAAATATTTTACTTCTTCCAATACTGGAGATTAAGCCGTTTTGGTTTTTTTGATTTTCTTGCTTTTGCTTTTGTATTGTTTGTTTGTTTTTGACAGGGTCTCACTCTGTAGTCCATGCTGGCCTCAAATCCACAACAATCTTCTTGCCTCAGACTCCCAAGTGCTAGGATTACAGGCATGAGCCACCACACCTAATTAATGAGTCTCAAATTTACCTCCAACAGGACTTCTTCCAGTAATTACAGACACAGAAATCTAGTCACCCACTGGCTTTATAACCCCTCAAAACTGTTCCTCCTAAACAGATTAAAGTGGTATACCTGTTTAATCTCAGCACCTGGGATGCTGAGACAGGGAAATCACAGGTTTCAGGCCAACCTGGATGTGCAATGAAATCCTAGATCCTGTCTTAAAAAAAGATCTCCATCCTCATACAAATGCCTAGTCCCAAAACTCTAGAGTCATTTTTCTTTCTTTTTTTTTTTATCTAAAAAAAAGTGGAACAATTTATTCTGCAAAGCAAAACTTGCCCCAGCTGGCCTGGAACTTGCTATGTAGACCAGACTGGCCTCGAACTCACAGAGATCCGCCTGCTTCTGCCTCTGCCTCCCGAGTACTGGGATTAAAGGCGTGCACCACCACATCTGGTCTGGAGTCATTTTTCAACCTCCTCTCTCTTCTCTATGTCTAAGCCTTTTTTTTTTTTTTTTTTTTTTTTTTTTTTTTTTTGTCTTTTTTTATCTTTTTGAGACAGGGTCTCCTTGTAGCCCCAGCTGTCCTGGAACTCACTATGTAGACCAGGCTGGACTGGAACTCATAAAGATCCACCTGCTTCTGCCTCCCAAGTGCTGGGATTAAAGGTGTGTGCCACCACACCCAGCTATCTAAGCCTTTTTTAAAAAGTTTTCTCAGTGAATTAGACCTGAGTCCAACTCACTGTCCAATTTAGTAATCTCTAACAGAACTTCTAGCTTCTATCCTGGCTCCTTTCTCTCTGTTCTCCACTCAGCATCTAGACAAATCTGCTAAACATGTCATAGCTAATAAAATGTCCACAATGGATACAGTCAGATTCATAAATATTTACATGACCAAAATGCAAAAATATGGCTGGATGTGGTGTCCCACACCTTTAATCCCAGCACTTGGGAGGCAGATACACTCAGATCTAATGGAGGCCAGCATGATCTACATAATGAGTTCCAGGCCAGCTAGGGATGCAGGGAGACCCTGCCTAAAAAAACAAAACAAAACAAAACCCCCAAAACCAAACAAAAAAAAGCAAAAATATAAACCAGAGATTATGGCACACTCCTGTAAACCCGGCACTTGGGATGTGGAGGCAGGAGGAGAAGATCAAGGTCATTCTCAGCTACATACTGAGTTCACAGCTACCCTGTCTCAAGCAAAAAAAAAAAGAGGCTGGTAAGAGTGTGTGGCTTAGTGGCAGATTCCTTGCTTAGCATGCATGAAGCATGAGGCCTTCAGTTCCCAGCGTGTGCATGTGCACACACACACACACCCCACAAATGATAATGAAGAAGAGTAATGAAAAAGATATAGGAAATAAATACCTCCCAGAATGTAATAAAACAGTCAGGTGTCGTGGCACATGCCTTTAATCCCAGCACTTGAGCCAGGCAGATCTCTGAGTTCAAGGCCAGCCTGGTCTACATAGTGAGTTCTGGGGCTACAGGGAGACCCTGTCTTAAAAAGCAAAAAAAAAAAAAAAAAAGTAATAAAACATTAACCAGATCAGTTACACTCAGAATCCACTGCCTTACAACCATCATCAGGCCCTCCTTACAGTGTCACTAGATGATTTCCCATTAATTCCTACCTTGGCTTATACAATTTACACCCTTGAGAGAGTAGGCCTTGTTTTATTTATTTCTTTCCTGTGACCATAACCAGGAACCTGGCAAACAGCACGCAAGAAGAGGTATTTGAAGGAAAGAGCAGATGATTAAGTAATGGGATCTTCCAGGTTTCTGAGGGGAAATTAGGGCTGGCCCTACAACCCTCCACTATGTGATGCTATGGACAATGCCCTCACCTGGTGTTTGGTTGCAGAGTCCCTTGGATTTGGCCATCCTTGGGCAGCACATGCCCACACGGGCTATGGGCAGACACAGACCCTGGATGCTGTACAGTCAGTTCCAGCTCTGTCCATTGCTTAGGGACCTGAGGGAAGAGGACAATGGAGAAGATAGTCTCACATCTAGTTTTTGTTTTTTATTTATTTTTTTTTTTAGTCTTTTTGAAACAGGGTCTCCTGTAGCCCCAGCTGGCCTTGAACTCACAGAGATCCACCTACCCCTGCTTCTCAAGTGCTGGGACTAAAGGTGTGCACCACCACACCTGGCTTCACATCTAGAATTTTAACTACAGCTATCAAGGGTCTAACCTGGGGCTCCAAGCGCAGCAACAGATCATAGTCCATGGCCTTTGGTATTGAGGTTACCAGAAACTCCACTCCCTGACCTTCCTGCAGCCGCACAAAGCCTGGGCCAGTCCAGGATGGAGTCTCCCAGTTGGTCACCACACGCTCCACTACATCAAGCATCTGGGAATCAATAGAGCCAGGGACAAGGACTCAGGTGAGGTACTGTGTCTTCTGCCACAGCTAACCCCAAATACCACTTCCCTCACCAAGACCTCACCTAAGACCCCTCCAAGGCACCACCCACAATCCCACTTCTCTCCATCCCACCCACAACCAAGGGGTGCTCCCACCTGCCCTCGGGCATCCTCAGCCTCCCAAATTAAATGGTCTAGAAAGGGCCGGAAGTAGCCAGGTTGTACTTGTTCACAGCGACGCCCAACCATATGCTGGCGGCAGCGGCACTGACCCGTCACCTCATCACACCTGAGGAATGCTGTGGTTACTCAAGAAGTGCCACTTCTGCCTAGGATATTTCCCTACCACCTCCCAAGCCCCCTCTACACCACTCACTGAGGATCCAGGGCACCACCCGCGTCGCAGTCACAGGGGCGGCAGCCAAGAAGGTCATGGCTTAGACCCCAGTGGCCAGGCTAGGGAAAAAGAATTGCTGGCGGTCAGAAATAGATCACCTTGCCACCCATCAGGGAACCCAGTTCCACTCCCAGTCTCTTTTAACCATTGGTGAACACATGGTCCTCAGACCTCCCAGACCAGAGACTTTTAAGCCAGAACTACATCCTCAACGGTCAGCACACACCCAATGGAGCATGGACTTTGCCCCCAGCCATGTTCTTTGAGGACAAGTCCAGAGCCCTAGAACCCCAGCTCCCTGTCGCACCAGGCAGCGGTCACAGGCATGTCCAGTCACCAGACGCTTGCAGAAACAGGTTCCACTGTTGGAATCACAAGAGGTGGCTCCAGGAACTGTGCCCCGTGAATTACACTGACAACCTGTAGGGATGGGGGTTCATTAGCACTTTAAGGAGTAGAGGCAGTGCTCAAGTTCAGCTGCATCAGAAGAAGCCAGGGGCTGAAGGTCAGCACGGAATTAGGAAGGGAGGCACATACGCTGGCATCCAAGAGGGTCACTGGCACTAAGTCCAAAGAAGCCATCCCGGCATTGCTGGCAACGAGTGCCCACCACATGTTCTTTGCAGCGACACTGGCCTGAGACCAGTCCCAATACAGGATCATCGTGGGAATCACAGCGACCACCATCTTGGGAACCCATAGGGTCACAGTCACAGGCTGAGAGCAAAAAGAAGTATAAAGTCACCTTATCCCAATTGACACAGCATCAATCCTCTCCTAAGCCTTCCCCTATTCCTGGTCTGATTCCATTTCTACCACATAAATTCCTGGTAACCTGGACAGGGATCGGACTTCCTAGTTCTTACCTCAAGCTCAGCTTTCCCTCCCTCATACCCAGATCCAGCTTACAGCGGCACACAGCTGGATCCCGCAAGTCCTTGGTTGGGTCACGGTAGAAGAAGGGCCGGCAGAGCTCACAGTGGCGTCCAGCTGTGTTGTGCTGACATCCATCACACACACCTCCACTTACATTGCCAGATGCCAGGTATACAGCCATGTCGAAGTGGCAGCTATGAGTGTGTCCATGGCACTCACACTCTAAGAAGAAGGCAAAGACCAATTGAGAGACAAACCAGGTCCTTATGCTAAGGCACATGGTAGGGAAGGATGGCTAGTAACATCACCTTAGGTCAGTATCACAGACCAGAATTTGCAGATGGCAGCTTAAGGACTTCAAAGCCTTACTATCATACGAGATTGGTACCCAGAGAACATTATATAGGAGGGGTGAGAAGGTTGCCAGGGACATCAAGGTCTGGGTACTCTTTAGACTTAACCTATGTATGAAGGACTTCATCAGCTAGTTCTTGGTTCTACCCAGGGCATGACCAGGCTACAGAATTCTGGGTCTCACTCACTCCGACAAGCATGACTGTGACCATCCTCAGCTGGATGCCAGGGCAGGTCATGATAGAAATCTTGACACTGCTCACAGTTGAGGCCACGAGTATTGTGTTTGCAGATACAGGCCCCATGTACCTGTGGGAGTAGGGAGACAGGTTGACGGCACTGTCTAGTCATGCTTATCCCTCTCTACAAGCCTATCCCAGTTATCTGATGCCCCTCACCATGCCCTCAGCATGAACTGGTGCTCCTGGGGCGGGGGCACACTGTGAGGCATGTCCATAGCAGAAGCAGTTGCCACGTACAACCAGTTCATAGAGAGCATAATAGTACTTCTCCCGGATCTCCCGCCGTGGGTCAAGCAGGTTGTCTCCCAGAGTGTGAAGCCGAGTCAAGTTCACCCGTAAGTTGGTGATCTTCAGCAAGTCTACATGGGGAAGGAGGGTTGCATCCAACTAGCCAGGCAGTCCTTTGCTGCTGCATACTCAGCCAGGGGCTGCAGCTGCCAAGGTCACCTTGGGAGACCTCCTGTCTATTGCTACCAGAGCTAAACCAGGCCTGGCATCTGCCCTAGGAAGCACCCAAAATAGTTACTGAGGCCCCAAATAGTCCTCATCCGGACACTGGGATTGTGCCAGTCTCAATGGGTGGAGTACTTACTTTGGATCCGTGCACTGTAGGGGTCTGGGATAGGGATAGCAGGGTCCAGCACGCGATAGATGACCTGGCAAGGCAGGGAGTCCATAGAGATATTGGACCTTGCCTCAGGACTATCACACCCCTCCCCCACCCTCTCCTACCTTCAGCCCAGATTCCAGCTCTTACCTCACCTTCAGTAGATGGTTCAATTTCTGAGTAGCGGGACTCACAGACTACATCATCCCAATGCCGTGGGGGGGCTAGTGGGACTCCTGGGAAGTCAGCTGCACAGTCATAGGAGAAATATCGATACACACGCCAAGTGCGGCCAAAGTCTGCTGAGCGCTCCACCAGCATGGCGGCAGGACGAAATGTCTAGGGGATGGGGGTCAGAGGACATGGCTGATCAGTAGGCACCAGGATCTCAGGTTATTGAGAGCTCTGCTCAGTCATGTTTGTATCCAAGCAGCTCACAGACAGATGGGAGTGACCATGAAAGCCAGGCAATGATCAGACCAGCCTGCCACCTGTAATGGGCAGGCTCAAATATCATGGGACCCAGGGAGAGAGCATCTGACCCAGCCTAGGAATGGGGCAGCAGAAGCACATGTGCAAAGGCCTAAAAGTTTTCAGCAATGGAGGTATGCAGGAGATGGCCATGTTTCACATATAGTCAAAGCTCAGGGCAGCTGGATTGAGGAGCTAGGGCTCTGTCCAGGCGTCATGGGGAGCAAAGCAGGGCAATTCAGGCAGGTTCGCTGACATGCAGGCACCTTGAAGGTCATAATGAGGTGAGTGAAATGAAATTCAGCTTCCAGATCTAGCTGGATGGTGACCATAGGAATACCTGTAGCAGAAATCAGAGGTCAAGGATTTGAACCTACTGGTGAGCAGGCCCTGCTCACTCCATGATCTACTCATGAGCTCACCATTCTCTGATTGCCACCAGGCTGTCCTGCGCTGTGGTGCAAAGCTGGTGACTACATTCTGGATTCGATGGCTATGTGGGTTGTCTCGAGCAGAGAAGGGGCGCCGGGAGTCACACAGGAAGCACTTCTTCTCATCCTGGGTTGGGTAAAGGTTAGGATCAGTATCTCAGCCAGTGCCAACCCCACCTTGAACCCAGCCTCCCATCCAGTCCCCAGCAACACCTGCAGGTGACTGACGATGCAGTAGGGCTGGGGGCTGTGCAAGCCACATGTTGATGAGGCAGTCAGTCTGTCTTCACGGCCCACCAACAGGTCACCAGTGGCTGGGTAGCAGCTTCCTCGAGAACAGCCAGGTACATCCAAGGATGGGGCCTGAGCCAGTGTCACAGCCAGCACTGGGGGGCAGTGGGTCAACCTGTCCTACAGTGCTTCTATTGGATAGCCCTGAGGAGCCACCCCTGGACCTACCATCATATCCCACAACCCTGGGTTTCACCAGGCCCCCTCACCACTTAGAAGTAGGCCTATGCGAAGCTCCCAAGGCACAGACTGTCCCTGCTGGCCCCTCCCTGATTCCCCTGAGGCCGGCTCCATCCTGAAAAGAAGGGAAACAAAGATAAGGGAACATGAAGGGTCTGAAGACCAAGTCCACCACTTCCCTTTGGGGTTGTTGCTGACCCTGGCTGTGTGGGTCCTTGGTTGGTTTCCCTCCAGGCCCTCAGTCTGTTCCAGGGTCTCCCCAGCGTCCCTCCACCAACTGAGAGTCCGGTGACTTTGAGCGAAGTTGGAAAGCGGGGCAGAAAGGAAAACATGGAGCCTATTCCAGACAGGAGTATAACACAGGACAGAGCTCCATCCCGTCCCCTCCCTACCCCTGTCCTCTAGAAACAGCTCTCATCCCAGGAACTAGTCACTGGCTACTTAAGCCACAGATTTTTTTAAAATCAGAGATTTATTCAGCAAAGCAGCAGAGATCTATTTAGCAAAGAAACAGAAATTTAGTGAAGCTAATAAGCAAAGCAAGTGTCCCAAAGAGAGATTGGAGTGGGATGCCACAAACCAGAGAGCAGCCTCACCCCACAAATACTTACTGTGTTCCTAAATCCAGATCTCTTCAGGGGCCAGAGAACATAGGGGTTGGTGCTTTAGGCCACTTCAGGAAGATGTATATGAAGTTGGGGGAATGGCAGAAGTAAATGAGACGTTCTGATTTTTGAGATCTGGAATGCAGATCTAAGGAGCTTACTGTTTTTGTCCCTGGCGTCACTATGGAAATCACTATCAAATCAGCCTCTGGATCCCAGGGTTACAGCATCAGCAGGAAGATGGGAAGGGTGCAAATTGGAATTCTTCTATTGGGCCCTTGGGGAGGTTTAGGAACAGCCCAAAGGACAGGATAGGACGGAGTTCTGGGAGAAATGCAGAAGACCACACCCTGCCTGAAGCACAAGGTTGGAGATCTCCACCGCCCATAGTCACTACAGCAAGGAACCTGCGAAAAATGTTGACTCAGTTTCCCTCATGAAAATGGGTTCTCTTAGCCGGGCTCGGTGGCGCACGCCTGTAGTCCCAGCACTTGGGAGGCAGAGGCAGGCGGGTCTCTGTGAGTTCAAGGCCAGCCTGGTCTACATAGTGAGTTCCAGGACAGCTGGGGCTACAGGGAAACCCTGCTTCAAAAAGACAAAAAAAAAAAAGAAAGAAAATGGGTTCTCTTTATTCAGTTTCCACGATGGAAATGGGAATGGGAACTGGGTAACAGACCATGGACCAGAGGCTCAGCGAGTGAATCCGAATCTTGTAACTATTTATCCACTCCGCATTTTCCAGACCTCTTGGCAGCCCGGGAGCCCAGAGTAGGAATGCGCGCACCCGCTAGGCGCGCGCCCCACCCAAACCCCTGGGACCACAAAAGGCAAGGGGGTGGTTCCAAGCAGTCCTGAGTTCTTCTGGGTGGGTGAGACTTGGCCACAGCTGTGAACGCACAGTTTGAGATCAGACAAAGAGTACTCGAAACTGCAGGAGCCTGTGGGAAAGCTGAAAGTTCTTCAGAGGAAACATTCCGCTTCACAAAAGAACTTGGGGGTGGGGCAGTCAATCTGCTGGACTTCCCCTGTCACTGGAGTAGAGTGTTCAGTCCCCATGAGAGTCATGTAGGTAACCCAGGGAATCTCTGGGATACTAGAGATGATGATCAGAATTTTAGATCACTCAGAGAAGTCTGGAGGGAGGGTAGGGGCACTAGAAGGTTACATTATATCTCTATTTTCAAGATCAGAGAGCCAATGAGGGACATCATAGACTCACATTCCAGGCTCCTTTTTGTCCCTGGCATCCATAGATGGCAGTCAGCTGCTGGCATGACTATGGCACATGTATGTACTCATAGAGTTTTACTGCTTGGCTTCTTGCAGCTTCAGTCTGCAGAGTGACTAGCCTTCTTGCCCAGTGCCTGCCTGTTCATTCTGTCCCAGGCAGTACTCCAACCCTGGAAAAGTCATCTGAGCCAGGCTCTGACCCCTAGATGTAACTTCTGACCCTGGCCTTAATCTCCATCACAACCCTGACCTTGATCCCAGCCCTAACCCTAAATGAACCCTGACTGGATCAACATTTGACTCCCTATTCTGAATTTACTGCAACTCACATCTTTACAGAAAACTGAACCTGATAATGACCAACACCCAGACACTTAAGTTCTTGTTCTGACTTCCACCTTCCTATCTGTGCCTGCTCTCACTAAAGCCCAATCATATACTCTTTAGTTGACTTCATCTGTTCTGTGCCCTTTTCCACAGCTTTTGGGCTGGGCCTCAGTTTATTCCTGCACCAGCTCTCCTGAGCCCTGCACCATAGCTATTCATGCTACATGTGCCCATCTACAACTCCATTGAACTTGTTTGTCCATCTGCAACTTTAGAGCAAGATTGAACCTGATCATGCCCAGACTTTAGTGACCTGAGTAAATCACTTGCTCAAGGTTGATTGAGGAAAAGGCAGAGATTTTAGCATCTGTGACCCTACTTCAGCCAGTATATCCCATCCCCAGACTAAATCCCACTTCCCACGGTTCCAGAAGGTTCTTGGGACATCCATACACACACATACCCAATACCCACTGTTCCAAATTTCACCTTGCCCAGGCTTCTAGGCATGCACATAGCCCATGTTGCTTGTTCTGCCTCCAGAGCCTGTTGCTGACTCAGGGCAAAACATCACCTGAGACCCTCAGCTCTACTGGACAGATGCTCCAGGCTGTATCAAGTGGTAGGCAACCATTCTGTCACCTGAGGCAAAGATTGGGGGTCATAGAAAAGTAACAGTTCTGTATTCATCTCACCAGAGTAAATAGTATATGGTACCACAATGGTTCAAGGACCCCAGAGGAGAACAGGGTTCACAGTAGTCTTTGAACAGATGACATGGAGCTGGTATGACAAGAGGGATATCATTTTCTTTTTTTATTTATTATTTTTATTTTCTGTGTATGAGTGTATTGTCTGCATGTATATGAGTGCACCCATGTCGTCGGATCCCCTGGAACTGGAGTTAAGGACAGTTTGTAGCCGCCATGTGGGTGCTGGGAATTGAACCCAAGTCCTCTGCAAGAGCAGTCAGTGCTCTTAACCGCTGAGCCATCTCTCTAGCCTCGGATATCATTTTCTATATTCTGACCTACAGGCCTTAAAGTACCAACTTTGCCACCTGTAGTCCTTGCTTTGAGAACTCTGTATCAATTCCCCTTCAGCCATCACCCTCTGAACATTTGATGCTCAGGTCCTAGGTTCTGCCTATATATTCCCTGAGGTGGTGTCAGTGTTCAGTTAGCCTTCCCCTTCTTTCCTGCCTACCCTCTACTTCTAGTCTCCTCTTTGGCCTTCACCTGGTCAGCTGTGCCTGAGGAAAGACATCTTTCAGCTCAAGACATCTCATAGCTCATGGCATCTGGTTCAGGGAGAGCATGTACCCCAAACTGGGGAAGGGATATGGCCATCCCATACCATGTACCAGCTCCACACTTGCAACATCTGAACTGTCATCTGTGCAGAGAAAGGTGTAGGGATCTTGGACCTATACATGAACCCTGACCCATAACCTATAAGCCATCATCCTAACCTTTCATAGACCCTTCACGCACCTCTGAAAACTACCCAGTTTTATGTTAGAGTTTTGCAAAAGTATTGTTAGAGCTGGGGCCTCATGCATGGGTTTGTAATCCCAACATTCAGGAGGCTCACCATGAGTTCAAGGTCAGCCTGGACTACATAGAGAGATCCTGTCTAAAAGAAAAAAGCAATTGAGAAACTTGCAGAAATCAAGAAAATTAACCGTTAAATGGTATGGATACTGAAAGCAATCTTGGTAGGTTTGCCTACACCATAAATTAAGAAAGTTTACAAAGAAGCCTCCCTGACTATCAGCTAGTGTTTTTGTTTTTATTTTCGGTTCTTGAGACAGAATCCGGTATCCCAAACTGACCTTAAGTTAACCCTCCCACTTCCATGTCCTGAGTAATGGAATTACAGGTATGTGCCAACACATTTGAATAATGTGATGCTAGAGATCAAACCAGGGCCTCATGCATGCTAGGCAAGTACTCTATCAATAAAGCTACATCTGCCACTCCCAGCCAATTGTTAAACATTTATTTTATTTTATTTGGTTTTGTTTTATTTTATTTTATTTATTTTTAAGTCTTTTTAAGACAGAGTCTCCCTGTAGCCCCAACTGGCCTGGAACTCACTATTGTAGCCCAGGCCGACCTCTGTTTCAAAAGTGCTAGAATTATAAGGCGTCTACCATCACACTTGGCTTTTTTTAAAATTAATTAATTAATTAATTTTATTTATTTATTTTGTCTTTTTTGAGACATGGTCTCCTTGTAGCCCTAGTTGTCCTGGAACTCACTATATAGACCAGGCCGGCCTCAAACTCACAAAGATCTGCCTGCCTCTGCCTCCCAAGTGCTGGGATTAAGGGCATGCACCACCATTCCTGGCTTTTTTTTAAATTTTATGTGTATGAGTGTATGCATGTAAGTGCACCTATGTTGTGCAATGCCCTCAGAAGAGGGTGTCAATCCCCTGGATGGTTATTAGACACCATGAGGGTGCTGGGAACCAAATCTGGTCCTTTGCAAGAGCAACCAATGCTCTTAACTACTGAGCCATCGCTCCAGTTCCCAGTTGTTAGACATTTACAAGTCCACTAGGACTCCCTTGTGAAGCTTGTACATCCCTATGAATATTCCTCATTCCAAAAGTAGTATCATGACAATATTCTGGATGCCCATCTGCCCCTGCCTTCAGCTGTGAACAGACATGTGCAAGTAAACATGTACCCATGAGAACACATTGGATAATCTGCATGGTTGCTTGCATAGAGACCAGAGAAACCATTTCCAGAGTCCTATTGCATGATGACATGTCTTCTGGACCCAAGTCGCTGTGGACCTTGCTATGGCCTAGATTTGCTGCAGCTGTTAAGGCCTAGTCATATATTGAATTTCTCCTGCAGTATCAGGAGACCCAAGTATGCCTTGCTTGGCGGGGAACCTCGCTCTCATGATGGATGACGATACCACCTGGAGACACAGTCTTGGGACTTGTGTCTTTACAACAAGCCATTTATTACAAAATTCAGATGGATGGGGGCTAGAGAGATGGCTCAGCAGTTAAGAGTACTGACTACTCTAGCAGAGGTCCTGGGTTTGTATTTTAAAAAAAACAGCTGGGCATGATGGCGCATGCCTTTAATCCCAGCACTTGGGAGGCAGAGGCAGGCAGATCTCTGT